TATCTCATGTTTACACAATTTTGCGATCATGTTTACAAAAATCACTCTAACTTCTGAACCAGTGGGCCGAGTTTAACGGCAGTTTGGTATGTAAAAATAGACTAATCAAGCTGTCTGTTAAGCTAAAAATCAATTTGATTGGATGAGAGGTCTCGTCGGAACGCCCATTTCTTTAGAGACATTAACTCGATTTGACACACATCGACTAATGGTAAAGGATAGGCGGCAGTTCTCGCTGGTAGGCGGCTCGCGCTGGCGTAAAGTTGACAGAAAAACAGCGATTTCTCAGCTAATACTTGCATAAAGTTTACCATTTTTGTATCAAAAGTAAGAGAAATCTTTGCTGATTTGTAATATGTAAACATAGTTAGAATTAAGCGTTTAGTTTTTTGTTACGAGCAGTTTAAAAACGTTCAGTTACTTTTCGAAACCTGCAGCGTGATTTAGCCGGTTCGATGGACTCGACCATTATACATGTAGGCAAAGGCGGCCTAGGCTTGCTAAATTCTAACTATAGTATAGAGCGTCTTGGCTAAGATTGTCTCCTTGACTTTTTTTATACAGTATTCTTATTGATTATACAGTACCATAAAATATATATCAGATATAGTGACTGACCAAAATGAATTTAAGACATTATAAAATGTTACAATATTATTTCATTTATTATTTGTGATTAGGTGCCCAACATTCCCCTCTTAAGTAAAGTGGTACGGTCCAACGTGGTTGTGTGAGCTACATTGTGTGGCGGAGAGATTAAGATGGCGTGATAAGAACTCTACGCACTGAAATTAAATAGGTTCAAAAAACAAAACAAATTGTAATGGTACTTTCTTTGGAGGCATTATAATAATTTTGATCGGTTTTGAAGATGGTCTTGTGCAAACAATTGGTGAGTTTTGTTGTATTTGTTATTTTGTGAATACCTTATTAAAGTGATTGGTAATATACAGACATATAATGTGATTGGGATTCTATTTCATTGGTCAATGGTAAGGATTAGATGATGTACGCGTAAAATTAGATTTCATAATTCCATGATGTAATAGTAAACAAACTACACTGTCGCCTTATGCTAATGACATTTTTAATTAAAGCATACTGTTTGTTATTTAACTCATGATACGATATTGTCATCATAGATGATCTATAATATGGTTTTCATCTCATGAATAAATTCAGGTGTTAGGGCACATAGAAAGAATTATTAAAATACCCTCCTTTTTAAAAAAAAAATGTGATGAGGGTAGGTTTTTTTTTTTATTCCCGCATCAATATTTCCAAATAGATGATCTGCGCAGGAGTGATAATTTAACAATTTGTTTATATGTGCCCTTATCAATTCGCGAAAGTTTCATTTCACAAAAGTTTCTTGTTTTACATTAGTTGTAATGCTGTAATTTAACCTCTTTGAAATTTTTTGCACCAAGCCACTTAGTTTTTACAGTGATGTGTTGAATACTAGTGATGATACGCCTATGGCGCTTCATACGAGTGTTGCTACGCTCGCCTTGTAATGCCTAGACAAGGATTTGTGGTTAACCATTTTGCATTAAAAGTTACGTTGTTCAACAAGCCCGATAGATTCGTACATCATTCCAGTACTGTGCATTATCACATGACATAACAATAAGAACAACCTTACATGGTAGCAGCGGTCAACTAGACAAACACAGCGTTGTGAAGTTAAAGCCCCATTCCCGGCAAAATTTCAGTTTTTAAGAAAAATCTAATTTATGTACAATGTTATAAAGATTTATAAATATAATACGGAATTGCTAGTTTAACTGAATTTAGACATTCCTAAGAATGAAAAAATGTAAAATAAGACTGAAATTTGATTTTTTGTGTTCCACACAAAAAATGAATGTGGATGAATTTTTCATTTTGATTTTGCGATAGGTCGTGAGAAGAAATATCGTAGGCGCCGAAAACATTAGTCTATCCAACGCTGCTAGGCTAGGGCTAGCCTTACCTCGATATAGGTTCTGTTATCACACATAAAAACGGCCGACATGATTTTTTCCGTTGCTAGTATTGACACTTCCGAAATATAATATTTCATAGGAATTATTTCAAATTTGTTAAAAAACTGTTTTTGACTGAGATTTTGACACTTAAACAAACATATCTCAGCCGAAACCGAACGACCGCATTGTGCAGATGCGAAGTACAAAAACTAATCTCATTAGAGAGGGCGCACTTTATTGACTGTAAAAAGTATACATAAAAGCTAGAGTATTCCCAGTGGATGCGATCTACAACCTCTGAATTTGCCTAGTAACGATGAATTCGTCGAGAAAATGGTAA